TAATTTAGTGAGAACTACCCACAGTTATAAGGAATATTAAATATTACTAGAATAAACGTAAGGTTTTTTTAAGGAAAAAATGGGATCATATTTAATGATTAAGAAAGAGTATCATTGTGTTAGTACTAGTCGCTAGCAGTAACAGCTTCAGCGATCAGGTATAAAACAAGAAAACTTTGCATCAGCCGAGCTGTGAAGGTCGAACCCTAGGAAATGGTCACAGGCAGATGAGGTAAGTCCTAAAAAATCTATCTATTGAATTATTAAAAGTTGCAGATCGACGAAGGTGAGCCGATTACTTCTAATTTATTTTTCAAAAGATTCTGCTGTCTCTGTTAATGCAATAAAAGTAACAAGAGAATAAAACAAAGACACTTTCTCCTATTCGTAAAGGCACCACTTTTATTATCCTGGGGATCGCTAAACCCGTAGGGAATATACAGCGCCTGTGGGAGAGAGGGGGAGGGGAATGGATGGCATTCAGGCTTAATTTTGGGAATTGGAGCACAGATCCGGTTCCCCAGATCGAGAGCCCCTCGCCAGCATCAAGGAATCTCCCTTTAGAGGACAATATCACTAATAGTCTAAATGCCAGTTCATGATCGGACGGGCTGTGGTGCCTAGGTTGGACTGTGTGCAGCCAGCACCAAGAGCGTGACTGATCAGACCGTCAATCAAGAGGTCTGGCCTGGGACCAGACTGCTGGGGGAGTGACCCCTGTACTGCCTACAGCTAAACTACAGTACTTACGACGCGATGTAGAAGAGATATTGGAAAATAATTCTACACAAATGTAGTGAGTGTATGTATGTGTGTGTGTGTGTGTGTGTGTGTGTGTGTGTGTGTGTGTGTGTGTGTTACCATTTTGTCCTAGGCACATGTCGATTAGACACTAGGCCTGTGTGTGTGTGTGTGTGTGTGTGTGTGTGTGTGTGTGTGTTCCCATCCCCTCCAATCTCAAGAATTACTGTCAATCTTTGGCAGAAGTAAAGGAGCCTTCAGACCAGCTTCCTTTTATTTACGTGTTTTCTTCCCGTTCTCTCTATTGTCCTCCAGCGACCTTTTGTATGTATGTATGTGACCACACATTGTGTATCTCATCGTGTCCAGGCTGACTCCTGCAGAGTCTGCTCATTGATTACAAATTCAATTTACGCTGGTTGAAAATAAATCAGTGAGCTTTTCTTTCTTTCTTCTGCCTTTGTAAAGATGGAGTCTGTGATTGATTACATGGATTTTTTTGTGTGTGGGATAGACTGTCTGATTGAGACGGACTCACATTCTTTGATACTAATTAATCCTTCGCGTTCTGGTACTCTCACACACTTGAACATTACACACACGTACATGAACATGGCACACACGCGTTCACACGCATGTACACACACACAATAAATTTATATATATATATAATATATATATATATATATATATATATATATATATATATATATATATATATAATATTATTATAATTATATATATTATATATATGTCGTGCCGAATAGGCAGAACTTGCGATCTTGGCTTAAATAGCAAGGCTCATCTTGCCATACAGGACAAGTGAAAATTTGTGTATGCAATAATTTCGCCAAAATCATTCTGAACCTAACGAAAAAAATATATTTGATTGTGTTTGTTTAGTACTAAATTATTGTAAACGTATTTAAAATATATATAGTTGGGTTATGCTAAAATAAATTGCTCTTGTTATAATAAGGTTAGGTAAGTTTTCTAAGATTCTTTTGGTGCAAAATTAAATTTTTTTATATTAACATCGATGAAAAAAAATATATCTTTAAACGTATAAGAGAAAATTTCAGAAAGGACTTAATTTTAAATGAGTTCTTGCTAAGTGACCAGTTTTACATATTCGGCACGACATATATATATATATATATATATATATATATATATATATATATATATATATATATATATATATATATATATATATATATATATATATAACTGGTAAAAACACCATGTCCCTTCCTTGAGAAAGTGACTGAAAGATCATGAATACGCTATGCGCTGCTTGATATTTAGTTACCATTCAGTATTCTAAAAGTGTACAAAGTAATAGGTAGTATGTGTGTGTGTGTGTGTGTGTGTGTGTGTGTGTGTGTGTGTGTGTGTGTGTGTGTGTGTGTGTGTGTGTGTGTGTGTGTGTGTATGTGTAGTGTGTGTGTGTGTGTGTGTGTGTGTGTGTGTGTGTGTGTGTGTGTGTGTGTGTGTGTGTGTGTGTGTGTACGTACTCTATATTTTGTATGGTATTCATTTTCATAAACTCTGGTACCACAAGTCTCGGTTAAAACCTCTGCGCCTTCCGGAGTTTCTTGACAAGCTTTATTAGGTTTTAATTTCATGTTGGTGTTACATATGCCAAAATGGTCCTCCCAGACAGCGGTCCCAGTGTCAGTCCTGGGGATACCCTCACTTGTGCTAATCCATACTTATCCGGGATTATTGCTACCTGGAGGTTACCTGGAGGTTATTCCGGGGATCAACGCCCCCGCGGCCCGGTCCATGACCAGGGTATATATTTCTTTAACCTTCATTACCCAACATAATACGCAAGTCAAAGATATCCCATAGATTAACAACATCTGTCTGTTTTATTTATTAAACGTTGGGACTGTTTCCTGCATCTTCAGGTGTTCTTACAATTAAACTGTACCCACTTATTTAAACACTTTTTTTTTTTTTGCAGAATGCAGATACGCATTGTGAGGTTGGAATCCAGTGTTCATTAGTCTACTCACTCTCTGGTTGTGGTGTTGTACCTGGCTAAACAGAGAATACCTTCTTTAATCAGTTGTTTAGATCTCTGCAAACCTGTGTTATTCCCAGCAAGCTGTTCCTTTAACTTTTAAGCCTTTCGCTGGTTCCTTCCTTCTAGTGTGGTTAGTTAGCATTACCTACAATGTTATTTTCAAATTAGTGTTCAGTCTCTCTCTTATATTCACTTTATTTTCGTATTTCTGCTCAGTTCTCTGTTTTCCATTTTGTTTTCTCCTTTCTGCAATTTTCTATGTTCCTGTCTTTCTTATCTTGGCTTCTCTGCATTTTTAAGTAAATCCAAGTCTTTCTTTGTTCTTAACCATCGCCTCTTTTTTTTCGGTATAAATTCCTCACTTGCCTCGTTGCCTTGACTTGAAACATCACATTTATATTGATTCTTTAAACCGCTCCTCTGTTGAGTTCATAGCACTTTACTTCTAAAATATTTTCTGATATATTTGTGGCTTATTTTTACTGTGTGGTGTCAAATAAACCTGTAACCTAAGAGTAACCTTCAAGGGTAAACAAAAAAAAAAAATCCTGATTTTGATTCCTCTTAAGATATGAAATTCCTTCAAGTGGGTTGGTTGCTTACACATTACTGAATGATTCTTGATTCAAGGAACTGGAGCTACCTTACTAGTTTTGAGGGCAAATCTTTTTGCCTATCTCTACCCAGGTGATATACGACTCCTATGGGTTTAGCGCTCACTCTTGATTATAGTAATTTCCTGTAAAATCGAGTTTTTTCTTAAACTTTAAGTTATTCATTTCTTCATCACTTAAATTCATGGAGGTCATGAAACCAGGAGTCTTAGTATTATATTAGTATTATTATAGTTACGGTCAAGAAACACACTAAACCCGGAAAGTGAGGAGGGTGGGAAGAGAGCCTTCTTCTTAACTATCCTGACCTCAAATGCCTTGAACTGGTAATAGCTAGACAAGAATTTTATCTTTCCTCATCTTAACCCAGAATGAAACGTTGCGTATAAAAACTTGTTCTAAACACGTATCTGTTCTTCACAGATATTATGAATGTGAATAATATTATGAATGTGAATCATAAGATTTTACGTTATATTTTGGTCCCATTAATTTCTTTATACTAAATATAGACTAAAGAATTTTCTGTATCTTGGTGTTCCTATTTCCTTGCTCCTTAAAAAAATATCCATGCAAAACATAGAAAATGAGAACTCGCATTACAAAAATTGGTATATTTCAGTTTGAATAATGAGACTTGTATGTTTAATTTATGAAGGTTCAGGGAGGAGGATTGCTGAATATATTTCTTGAGATATATACACATACTCTATATCAGCAAAATATTGCACTGTGACTGCAAATATATAGCACCATTAACCAAAATCTCACATATTTACAAATTAATGATTTGTCCTGGTTTTCTTTTCTTACACACACACACAAACACACACACACACACACACACACACACACACACACACACACACATTCATTGTACTCCACGAAAACAAGTTAAAGCATAAACAAACAAATAGCGCAGTTTGCAGGATTCGAACCCAGGCCTCCAGTTCTCCACGAGTGTTGATGGCTGATAAACCGATACCTTAAACCACAGACCTACAGACGTAGGATGGGCACGCACACTAGTGACCCTCCAGTATAGTTTGTAGTTATTTCATTCTCGTCTTGTTTGTACTTGCCTTATAATGAAAAATACAATTAATGTATTCTGTGGAGACGTTTACAGCTGAGTGGCTTAAGGCGTCGGTTTGTCAATTATCTACACTCCTGGAAAACTGGTGGCCTGAATTCGAACTTTGCTGGCTGCGATGAAATATATACTGATGTATTTTACATTGCAAGGTATTATATGTTTATGTGAAATGCCAAGCTTGTGTGGATCATTCAGCACAAGTATTGGAGGTTCGATCCTCTGTCCACAAATTAGACAACCATGCTACCTAACTGCACTAAGCTAGTTGTCAATACAACCAACAAAAAATTCAAGTTCTGTGAAATGTAACTCCTAAAACATAGTCAAAGTACATTTGTCTTCACATGAACTACATACTCGCATCTATTAACTTACTGTGAAAGGAAGAAACTTCTGCTAAAGCCTTGTGTTATATGCATTAGAGGGAAGGAGAGAAGAGGAAGAGAGAAACAATACTGAGATCAACCCGGGGGAAGTTCACATTCCGGGACAACCCTGGTTCATCTATACTCACCATCCTTCATGGCGTCCTTCTGATCTGGCAGTGGAAGAAACAGCAGTTAGTCACAGCTGAGCTGAATTAGGACAACATTTTACACCAATATCCCTCTCAATAACCCACCTTCCCTCCACACATAACAAGGTTAATACCAAGTCCTACATACCCCTGATCCCATACCAATATACCCATACCAACAAGTCGTAAACAGTCCCACGAGGAGGAATGGCTTATCGAGTTCAAGTTACCTTAAAGACACGTTTATGCAAACAATCCTATATTTAAGAACGCAAGAAGGAACACTGCTGCAGGACTACTGGCCCAAACTAAGTCCAACCATTAACGAGAAAAATCACTAATTCCAACCCCATTTCAAATTGAACCGTCTTTATATCTGATAAACGTTCCAGGGATCATTTTCTCTCGTCTGTCTCAGACCACTCCTTTTATTTATTTTTTTTTTTGAACCTGTCGAGCTTTACATTTTTTCCCCTTTCATAAAGTTTTCGTTAATGTTTCAATTTAATTTTACGATGAAAATTGTTAATCTTTCTAAATGTTAGTTTAGGGTATGTAAAAATCCACAAATTTTTTACTTGTGAAAAATATCGTCTCTATGAAAACAATCAGAAAACTGAATAATGAATAATAATATTAATAACAATAAAATAATAAAATTGTATTCAGTAATTAACATGTATAGATACGTATATGTGTATGTGTCGTACCGAATAGGTAAAACTTGCTATTATAGCAACGCTTTACTTGTCAAATAAGGCAAGTGAAAATTTGTGTATGCAATAATTTCGTAAAACTCATTCTGAACCTAACGAAAAAATATATTTCAGTGTGTTTATTATTAAATTATTGTAAACTTATCTAAAATATATTTAGATGGATTAGGCTAAATTAAATTGCGTTTGTTATAATAAGGTTAGGTAAGTTTTCTAAGGTTGTTTGGGTACAAAATTTATTTTTATATTAACATAAATGAAAAAAAATATATCTTTAAACGTATGAAAATTTTTTAGAAGGGACTTGATTTTAAACGAGTTCTTGCTAATTGACCAGTTTTACCTATTCGGCACTACATTAATATATATATATATATATATATATATATATATATATATATATATATATATATATATATATATATATATATATATATATATATATATATACACACACACACACATACATAATACAAACATATGCATAACAAAATACACATCATATTAATTCTGCTGTTCGATTAATCAACAAGTTGACATTACACAAGTGTGGAGAAAAAACTTGTGCCGTATGCGGGAACAGTATTAGTGTATCTCTGTTAACCTTTCACACTTTTCTCCAGTCCTCACCCTTTCTTCATTTCCCTTCATTTCCTATTATACTATTATCTACCCTATTGCTCCCGCTAAGCATCATATAAGACTAGAATAAAAAAGCAGAACTTTCCTGATATATGAAATTTTTCTTAATGTAAAAAAGAAATCCGTCCTTACTCAAAATCATTCTTACTCTCACTCCCCCATCATCACTCCACATTCTGTCTACACCCTCCACTCCTCTCACCTCTTCAGCCTCCACTGACACTTCTTCCATCACCAATCCACCTACCATCAATCCACCTAACATCGACACCCGTCCTCCTAAACAACGAAGTCTTCCAGTCCTCTACCTCTGTCCACCAGGTCTGGCCAGTCAGGCCGCTCTGATATGTATACACATAGCAATCAACCTGATCAAGATTTCTTTGTAATTCCATATTATAAAAGCATATGCCCATGGATTAAATAATAATTAACTATGCTAACCATCTCATTTTTATAATCAGTCACTTCAATATATTTTATTATATAATTTTCGTTTTCTCTTCTGTCCTTTTAACTTTCAGAAAATTAAAATAAACTAGGAGCAGTTTTAGATTATAAAAATTTACTTCATTAAAAAATTTTCAGTGACTATAATTAAATCTAGAAATTATAAATACTGAACGAATTTGAAAGTTGAAATCAACTTTTTTTTCATATTCATAATTAATAATTTCAACTTGAAATTTAGAGAAATATCTTTTATCACATATAAGCAATATATAATGTCCATTATACTAGAAGGAAATATGCTAATACACACACACACACACACATATAAATATATATATATATATATATATATATATATTTATATATATATATATATATATATATATATATATAAATGTATAATGTATATATGCATACACGCACTTGCATATATACACAGAACATAACCACAGCAAGACTTTCTACACAGCTGAATTTACAGGCTTAAAAATGGAATCATACCTAATCTCATTTTAAAATTCAAGCCTACCTAAGATTCACTATCACTTCTCAGGATGCCACCCACAACAGTCGGCTAACTCTGAGATATTTATTTACTGCTAGGTAAACCGGGGCAAGTACTTTAAGAAATCTTCAAGATAGAACCCTGGTTCAGCGACAGGGGGCTGAAAAAACTAGTACTGTGGTACTTTGTTTTGCAAAGTACTCCGAGATATTTTGTCTAGTATAATGCAACTTTCTCAAAGTCTGATAGATACACGAAAGAAATCCAGTTCTTCCTTCCAGAATGACAGTATCAATGAAAAAGAACACGCAGAGGAAAACCGAAAGAGAATCATAGTATCAGGGGACAAACAGAGGAGAATCCGAGATGACTGAAAGAGGAATTCTCAAGCCATGGAAAAAAATCCATCTCTTTACTTGGATGGAAGCGAGAAGGCAGGCGGCCGGACTAAAGCCCCAGCGCTTTATTTATGCAGACGGAGGTCCCTGTTGGTGCATCATGTGACAATTACTTAATAACGCAGCGTGACAGAGAGCTGCTCAAACGCTCACTGATGTGGAATGGGATCTCTCCCATTCATTTTTATTAAGAAAATTTCAGTAGGCACGTAGTGTGCGGCTATGCTATTCTTCATGATACAAAAGGTACATAGTGAAACAGCCACAGTGCGCAGTAACTATTCTGTAGGATAGTTACAACGTGGGAACACCCTCAGTGTGCTCGTATCCTTTTGCATGATAGTTACATTATGCAACACATTTGCGATGTGCTGCAAAAATGAACCCAGAGAGAGAGAGAAAAAGAGAGAGAGAGAGAGAGAGAGAGAGAGAGAGAGAGAGAGAGAGAGAGAGAGAGAGAGAGAGAGAGAGAGAGAGAGAGAGAGAGAGAGAGAGCGAAAGGCAGGGAGAGCACAGAATGCTGGAGAGTGTGGAAGCCAGGGTGGAGGTAGCGGGCATCTGAGTCTGACAGAGACAAAGTGGGAGGCAAACAGTCATCTATAGACAGTTAGAGAAAGCTTGCTCAAAGCGTCGACAGTCAGTCAGGGGCAGGAACGAGGAGAGGAAGCAAGACCAGAATGAAAAACAAGGAAAAGAGGGTAAGGGGGTTGTGTGGAGTAATCACCAAGTAGTATTTGTGGGGGGATGGGTCGAGTCTCAGACCCAGAACGAGACTATAAAACTACAAAATCACAGACATTATTAGTTCACGACCTCATAGACCCAGTCATACCTGATTTTGAAATTGTGCGTTTAATTTAGCTATGCCACATCCTCGTCTAGCTCTTCCATTTATTTACCATCCTGAGACTGAAAAAATATTTCCTGACATCCGTGTGTGTGTGTGTGTGTGTGTGTGTGTGTGTGTGTGTGTGTGTGTGTGTGTGTGTGTGTGTTAGTTACCATTTTGTCCTAGGCACATGTCGATTAGACACTAGGCCTGTAGCATATAAGTGTGTGTGTGTGTGTGTGTGTGTGTGTGTGTGTGTGTGTGTGTGTGTGTGTGTGTGTGTGTGTATGTGTATGTGTGTGTGTGTGTGTGTGTGTGTGTGTATGTGTGTGTGTGTGTGTATGTGTATGTGTGTGTGTGTATGTGTGTATGTGTGAGTGTGTGTGTCATGTGGGGTTCGAAACGTGGATAGGGTAGGATCGTAATCCAAACGCCATACGGAGGAAGTGATAATGCCCTGTAGGAGTGGAGAATGCAGTTAGCTCTTGGCTGTCCTCGTAAAGAGGGACTTGCCAAAACCCTTGTAACAAATCCAGGGTTGAAAAGACTTTGTTATCTCCGATGTTACGTAAAAGATCACCCAGTACAGGAAGTGGGAAGCGATCTGGAATAGTTTTCGCATTTAACTTCCTAAAGTCAATCACTGGGCGCCAAGTACCATCCTTCTTAGGTACTAGGTCAAGGGTGCATTCCAAGGTGAATTGCTAGGTGAAATTTAACTCCATCATCAAGCATTTGACTGATCAATTCTTCTGCGACAGCAACTGTGAATGAGGCATTCTGTACGCAGGTATGTAGATAGGTCTAGTACCAGGTTCAAGTGGAATACGATGGGACAATAAGTTCGTTATACCCATCTTCTCACCTGGTAAGGCAATGGCTTTACGACGTTTGTTCAACAGAGTCAACAAACGCTTGACTTCATCTGGGAAGTCAGTGGGAGCTAAGTCTTTCTCCTCAACTGGTGGTGGAACAGATTGATCCAGTGAAGTGGATGAGGTCTCCCCGGCAGAAATAGCACCGACCCACTGGTCAGGTGACAACCTCATCCTCTACTGAACAGGGTAAGTATAGTGAACAAGGTCAACAAGATTGGTATTGGCTCTGAGGACGAACACTGTGACCAGAAGTGTTGGTAGGAAGAAATGGATCTTACTATCTCTTACAACATGTAAGGATGGTTCAACAAATAGACCTTTTACTTTGCAGGAATCACTGTCAATAGGACGTTAATCACCATCTGGAAACACTAGGAACACAACAACAGACACACTAGTGAGGGCACTTGCTGCGGCAGAAAACGTCTTTCTGCAGACGGCATGTGAATCAACAAGAGATGGCCATTACTAGTTGCAAGTAATTGTTTTCCGACAAGGCGTCCCCTGTGGAGAAACTACTACTTGAACTAGCAGACATTGCAGGGATAGGCTCAGCACTCAAGGTAGCAGAGCGTCCTCGGACACTTGAGGTAACTGGAC